GATTCTCAATGAAGAGCATTTCCTTAGATTGAAAAGTTTGCAACTCATTGAATTTAATGGCTAAAATCGAGTAGACTATGCCGAAGATGAGGCCGACTCATTGTAATCTCCTTATCGCTGGTTCAAGTATGAAGCGATATTTAACATATATACATAATATCAGATGTGTTACGTCTGATGTGGGGCAATATTATATTCAATCCCGTGAATGAGGCTGGAAAAACGAAGCATTGAGAGGAACAAATGTGATGAAAATCAAGATGTTGCACGAGTTTGGTCAATACCTGTATATATGCATTGGCTACGAAGAGAGTCTCGTATGAGGTGATTGGGGTATCCTCAGGTAAATCTACTAGGCATAGGTTAACTTGATGTTCGGCTAGCGGTTACTTGTGGTTACTTGCGATAAACGAAATGGACATTACTGACATGGCATAAATGGTTCCTGAATGGGTGAAACGAGGCAAATCTCTACTTCAATTACTGTGCACTGCAGATAAGTTCTGGAGGGAGATCAGCCAATAAGAATATCTATGTTAATCTGCAATATCTTCAAACATCTCTCATTCCTTTGCATGATTACGTGTCCGAGAAAAACCAGTAGATCGACTTTAGCTGAAGTGCACCATGCTCTCTAATGTAAGTCACCCTCATGTATTTGTTGAGAATCTGTTAGATGGTCAATTATTTTCGGGAGTATTTTTGAACCATTTCTAAACAGTTGAATGTGAATTGATCAGAGGCAAACAAACTGATTTTTCTCTCATTAGAGAGAGGATTAATGAATAGCCCCGGAGAAGAATTTTTTGGGTTGATGCCGAAAGGGAAATTCCCCCCCACAAATAGCAAATGAGGAAGTAGCTTAAAATTCACGATTTACACGTAACAAAAACTTTTAATCTATTACCAGTAACGATTTATCGATCCCGATTGAGGTTCAGATGAGAAGTCTCACACAAAACCCCAAACTTAAGAGCAAAAGGAGACACAGTTGTTTCAGTTTGAATAACTTCTTCCATATGCAGCCGAGCTCAATCCATACACGCAAATGAAGTAATAAAAACCAGATTGTTATCTTTTTCTCTGATGCCAACTAGTAAGTGTACAAAGATTTTTCTGTTCAGTTCCACAAAACACCTAACGAGTAAACAAAGTGGAACGGAAGCTTCTTTTTACTGTTTCATGCTAATGTAGCACAATGTATATCTGTACATGGTTACAGACGCGAGTTAGAAAGGCAAAAAAGTAATTTGATCATGCAGAACTTTTGATCACGATTGTGATGCTCAGAGCATCCAGGCCTGACCAAAATCTGAGAAAAAGCTGTGCGCAGTTACCAGCTATTTCAAGGTGACACCTTCAAAGGGATTGGGCTTGGAAGGCGATTACATATTATCCACAAAACATTCCACACGGTCTAAACCAAAAGTGAATTAAAACCTAGTACAATGATGTATCTACGACTGAAGGGTTGGAGGAAATATTTTTTAAGCCTCTTTCTGAAACTAACCATTCACTTGCTCCTATGTAGCGAAACACATTGACTGTACCACCAAGCATCTATCTCAGCGCATCCATTACCTGCGTGGCTAAAACAGGAAGTCATGAAATGCATCCCAAAAGCCGTTTTTTGCACCTTACGCGCACTAATCGCACGATAAACCCAACCGAAGTATTTCAATCCTTGGAGGAACTCACAGTGATGGAGTCCGCATATTCGTCTTTGCAACTCCACTCTACATTCTCCAAATCATTTTGTGCAATCATTCAAACTTCCATGATCTAACAAAACTCCCAATCAAAATGAGGAGTATGTGAGTGTTTCGAAGTTTTGAATACTCAGATTACTGTCCTTGACAACTCCTTATCCCAATGTAGTCGCATAAAAACATCTCAAAATTAACAAATAAGACAAAACTAAATCGGAATTCAACGAACGCTAAATGCCTCGGAAAGCCTCGGTTGGTCGGGGTGGGTCTGTTGGGTTGTGGAATGTCATCCTTCCCTTTCACCTGGGGAAATACCCAAGCATCGCAAGCATCCCCTGGCGGAAATGTTTTCATACCAAAGGTTGAGGACGAAAAGCTAACACCCGGGACTTTACCACTGGCGGTTCACCTAAGAGATTTGGCCAAAATCAGCCTAAAAAGATGTGACCATATAAATATGCACAGACCTTCCTGGTTGTGGCAGTGGTGTATTGGGCACGTTGAACGTTTAACGTCCTTCGAAGGGCGTATGATCTGATGAACTGGACACTGAACCCCATGGATTGCTGTTTTCACACACCGTCCCACTATTTAACGGTCAGGCTTTGGTTAGCTGAAGTCTCCGGTTGTGAACTCCCCTGGGGAAAATTCACCTGCCTGGGTCTGGGTAACCTGGCAGTATTCCGCTCATCTGCTATTCGCGAAAGATTTCTGTGGTGATCCAGACCTACACGATGGCGCCTGCCCTGGAGTGGCGCATTACAGTTTCAGAACATTTGCGATCCATCAAGTTTGAATACTGACGTCAGTGACACGTGCATGGCTCCTGAATACACCTCATTGGTGGATGGTACCAGCCAATACAAGACAGTGCAGACAGAAACAAGATTATGCAAGAAGTATTGCAATCCGATTGGTGGAAGCTTAGAAAACTAATAATCTTCTTTTGTACATATTATTTAATCACCCTCATTTCCTTTAATGAGCGAACTACCTACTACTATTCCTGTGGCCTTTTCCTCGCGTNCGCGTCTCGTTCCCATGGGACGTTGCGAACCCGTGCCATTGTGGTCCAGTGCTTCTGTGATCCAGTCCGTGATAGCTGATCATTGATTTGTGTCCAGTGATTCCTATTGCGTGGTTTGCATATCGAATTCCATGCATATTACTACGACTACTACAACTATTAAAATTTCTTTTTATAAAGATTATTGTATCCTGATTATTTTGGCACACAGTCCAGCCTCAAAAATGTGATATATATTTCACAGTGGCTATCCGACAGTTCCCGGTGCACCCATTTAGCTATACTATTTTTAATAACAAAAGAACATTAGGGAGAAATGTCTTCTTTTTGACGCTTGGCGCACCTGAAATATATCGAAAAAACAAGACATGACCTGTTAAGCAGAATGATGGAGAACTTCCCACCGAACAAACCTGGGATCCGGCGCCGAAAAAACAACTGTTTTCTACTCCCGTCATTAAAATGACATGTTCAAAGTGTTTCGGGTCTTTACAATGTCGCGGAATTCAAGGAGTTTGTGATTGTGAGAAGGACTGACCATTCACTGCCTAACCATGGTTGTGTTTAAAACATTTGTGATGCAGGTGTCGTTGTTACGGTTTTTTGTGTTCGTGTTTTCGTTTCACTACACACTCCTTGTCAAAATACGCAAACCCGGTTCACGTTATCATTCACTAACACCTGCGCTCTCTCTTTTTCTTGTTTTCAAACAGTTCACTTTTATTATCTGGTATCACTATTTTTGCCTGACTCAATGGATAAACTCACACTGGAACCTAACATCATCCTATATAGGAAACAATGTGGAATGATTGTAGCTCGGGATGCGTTCCCCGATTTTACTTGAAGTTGCACTGATGTTGTTGCCCAGCCTGGCTACCAACACTTCTATCTCGGAGAACTCACCAACACCAACATGGCCACATATATCTCACAGATATCGCTCCGAGGATTCGTGTCTCGTTTTATTTCTATAACACTCGTAGAGGAATAGGAGCCGGTTAAAGTGGTGTACATCCATTCAGTCCACATAAATTTTATGTCCTGATAAAATTCATATAAGAAATGGTTTGTTTGCACAATACTCTAACGAGGAAGAATTGCTAAGATAGGAAGAATAAAACTGTGCAGTAAGCTACTGAAATCCACCCCGCTATACAAAAAATGAACTCACCTATGGCCTTTGAGATGCCCCTGATGAAGCATCATAGGATTCCAAGGAATACCAATGAATTCTGGAATTATCAACAGCAATTCCACAAATTTATTTGAGAGACAAACGATGAACTGTTCATACACAAAGTGATTACGTATGCCATTACCGAAGAAAACCTGAGGAAACAGATCAACGTTGCCAAGCGTATGGCTAAGCCTACTGACCGTGACGAAAGACAAACGTGTGCCTAGTGAAATCAACCCCAGATGTGCGCTCGCTCGCTGGCTCCTGCACACACACACACACACGCAAGTTCATTGGCTGTCCCACACCATTCAGTGATACGTTGACCTTTCACGGTGACCGATGTTTGGTCTTTGTTCTCTTATTCTATTGATTTTGAGGGAAACCTTTCTCGAGATCAAGTTCGAAAGAAAAGACTGTATATATGATGAATTCATCGCGTAAATGAGCTGAAAAGCTAAGGAGCACACGACAGCTGTTTCGACCTGTTTGGGTGTCATCAGCAGCGCGAATCTATCGACCCAACTGGCGATCCAATCTGGAACCTCATAGGTAGAACGCAATCATACTACCCACTTGGCCACCGGGCAGCTGATCGAACTGTTTCTCATTTGGAACATGCGTGATAGAGCAAAACCCATCTTTGCTAGCTTGTTGCAAATATCGATCCTCGCTCATCTCAGAACTAACCTCCAGGGTTTGGAAGCTTTCAGTGTGATTGTATGGCAGTACTGCACTATTTAATGTCGAGAATCGTTGTGTCAACAGAAAGAAATTTATGTCAGCATGTCCTCACCTTGGTCCTTTTACCCCTATCCTTTTTAATGTTCATCTGTTTCAATGTGTTTTACTTAAGAGTATCACGTTTGGATTAGACCACTGCTGACGAGTCTCAAACAGGATGAAACAACTGTTGGCCATTAAAAAAATACTTCAATCGTATTTTAGTGTACTTCGTAATAAAGCCCAATATAAGCATTGCGTTTTCTGCAGTATTTACTGTTCTGCAATGCAGCAAAATCGTCCTGGACAAAAATCGCAATTATTGGTTCTCATCCTGCTGACTAAGGTCACTCGATGTGGCCTAAACGTTGAGCAACACATAACTTCTGTTCACTAAACTTATATTCTTCAGAAGTTTTTCTGGAAATATTCCAACCGTATTAAAGCACATATCGCTTTCGTTCATGTTTGAAGTCAGCCATGGATTACTGACCTAAATGACTTAAATTGATTCTAATATCCGGTCAACTTTAATTAAACAGAAGAAAGTTTATCTTCAAATCTTCAAGTCATAGACAGGAAGTTATACTAAAAAAACAAGGAGATTAAAAGTTAATACTGGTTTTTAAAGTACGGGGGGATAAAAGGTACCTGAAATTCGACGCATTTCTCTCTCCGTGTGCATAACCAATGTCTCATAGCGCACGTTGATGCATCTGCTCGAACCGATAGCTGCACACTCTCTGATCAGCCTGGACACGACTAACTGCCACACCTTTAAATTATCCCCCGTTTCTCCGGTTTCACTGATAGGAGCCAGGGAAGGCGATTAGGAATAAAGACAATTGAACAATAGATAAGCAGAATTTAGATAAACAAATTTTCGTCTAGACTATGTGACTGAGGGGGAGGGCGCGGAGTTGAGTGATTATTATAAGCAAAACAGCGGTTCCGTGGTAACCTGATCCAAATCTCACTCAGTTCTGTATTTCTCCAACCGACCCTGGGTTATCCTTGTGCCGTCCCTGAATAGTGTCTGTACAGTTTCACAATCAATGCCGGTTGGGCATTTATGAATTCATAGAATTCCGTGTCTATGGGGCGATCTCATTACTCAGATTTCACCCCTTGGGAGTTGATTTAGTCTTCATTGGTTTCAAACCACGAATTCGTGTGAGGGACGTTCAAACAGAACGCACCGTGAAACAAGTGTCGACTAGTACACACAAAATGTTGCATCACTTTGTGATACATGCTTCTTTTTAAACTCGGTTTTACCGAAAGACGAGTATTTTGATATACTTTTCCGTAATGATATATTCACTTGAGTGAGCTCCCGGCTTACGTTCCAATACTAAGCACCCCGGTTCTTTCCCCAGTTAGGTCGATATATTTCACTGCTTACGAGATCCAATCAAGTCACGACATGAGTTCACTTTTTCCTAGCTTTTCACGACACGACAAGATTTGCCAAAATATAATAATCAGCTCTATTGACTAACGCTATCTGGTGGATGAGAAAAATTCAGCAGTTCGTTTCAAACTTGACCACTGAATGTCTGAAGGGGTAACAAAAGGTTTCAACATTATCGGCGACACCGTACGGGGATACTGGGGATGCTTGAAGAGCCAGTTTGAGCTAGATATTGCATGAAACGCTTACTTGAAAGAGGAGGCCATCACCGCTCGTCCATCACGTACCATGTGGATAAATTTTGCATTTGGAAACATTCTCCCCAGTAGTTCGAGATAACGAAACGTGGCCGGATCTTTGTAGCACAACACATTTGCATCCGGTCCCCCAAGTCTGATTATGTCCTCCAGAAAAGCTTTGGTCGCATTTATGATTGCATATGGTGCAATGCCTGCTTGAACAGCACGTCTGTTAGTCGCACCGCCAAATATTCTCCACAATCTAAGAACCTTAGATGTTATCCTTGATTCCAGTCTACATCCAACCCGCGGATGCGCATCCAGTTTGCTACGCACCAGGTCCTCACCTGTAACGGAACAACACGAATTAGGGGTTTGATTGTAAATGCAACGCAAATCACCAGACCCCGAAATGTGACTATCATTCATTTGAGCTGACAGGACGATGTGCAGAGGGGCGGAGTCAATTATTCAATAACTTCCAACAGACGCGTTGCCAAAGGCAATAGAACTCTGTGTCGCTGCAATTATCATCAAATTTTGTTTGCGTTAAATCCTTCACTGAAGTCGTTAGAACACAAGTTTGAAGGTGAACAATTCTATTCCAATGATTCACTATCCTGTCTGTACAAATCATATGAGAAACAAAGCAATCTTTTGTGGGGCTCAGCCTTCCCTTTTCTCTATCCGAGCTTGAAAATGTTTCCCCACTAACAATAAACACTTATCTGACTTGCAAACTTAGGATAATGAATCGTTTTGAAACAACTGTTCACCTTCAGACTTGTGTTCCAATGATAAAATAAATTTATTCTGAAGATATTAGAATTTAGTGTTTATTAACTTGGAAAAACAATTTGAAATCTCGTGTTTTAGATCCATTCTGAGGACGGACATTAATAGTGATTCTCACCGATGTTAGAATCAAGATTATAGCTCTTTTCTACTATTCAATCTACTTTTCATTTGCTACATGTGGAAGGTAATTCGTGTAAAGGTAAAAATCAATAACATTCGGTTTCGGTGCCTGGAAGATGAATTTGTTCAGGCAAGAAAGCTGGTGTGCAGTCTCATTGACCAAAACTGCTCGTGGAATATGAAACTGGCAGAGGATAAAAAAGGATGGCCACCTAGCTCATGGCAACATGCGGCTTTATGGCGATTCACAGGCACCCCAAAAAAGTTTGCTCGGATTCATTTAATTTAGTTTTCAGCTCTTAGCTACTTGTGAGTAGTGAGTAGCAGTGGAAGGTTTAATCGGAAATAGTAGGCTTCATGTCGAATCTACCATCAGCGGCTAATATCTGACTGACTGGCACTGAAGACAACATCCAACAACTTGTTCCGCCATGAGCAAATTCATGCAGATGGGGAAATAAAGAAGAGAGTACGAATGTTACGAGTTTCCTACAGTTTGTTCTTTCACTTTTGTCGATTGTCAACGTAAAACCGGTCAGCCTACAGTGAAAGATGTACAGGTTGCCTGACTGGCGTCAACCTGGACAGATCCATCATCCATTGCCTCTACACACGAGGCGAGCGAGCACGGTGCTTATGTGTGTTCCGACTTGATCAGCATTGTTTCACTGGCCAACACACATCTTTCTAGTCCACTTTGAATGATCGGGCTAGGCCACCGCAACAACCTACCTAATGATGTTTGGTAATAACCGAGTGTTGGGTACCTTGCTAGTTTTCCAGCTACAGTGTTAATTTTGTTCAGCGAGACCAAAAACCACTTTGGGATTTACTCCGTTACTCTTAGGGATAGGTGTTCATTCCGTCAACCCGATATGCGTGTCAGGAGAACTACGAGTAAACCGTTTGTTGGGTTCATGGGAGGCAACGAGATCATTGTTCATTGAGTAAAATGTGGAAAAACTGAACATAACAACCGTTCATAAATAAATATTAGGACGGAGCTTAAGCAACCCGTCCTATCGCGCACTCCTCCGAGTCAGGTCAAACGCGTGCTTGCAACGCTCCAAACAAGCTGAGCCCGATCATGGAACGAATCAACCAATACTTGTTTGATTGACAAATCAATATGTCAAGGACGCAATCTGATCGGTGCTTAACTGCGCCGTCCTAGTATGCGTGAGTTGTTCTAAATATTTGCCTATCGATATCCAATCGAAAAAATACATTCTGACTTTGGCTTCAACCGTGTTCTCTCTCCGCGTTATTATTTGGGGTTGGGCAAGAATCGCTCGTGTAATTCATACGTCTAAACCGAACACAATAATAAGCACCACAGAATGCGAAATGCAGCAGCGAGATTGGAACACATCGTTCCTGGTTCGATTCGAGAGTGATCTATACGGATCTAGGTTATTCTTGCCATTTAAGCCTGATAATTCGAATCAGGGGTGGTTAGCTGTGTAAAAGCTTTGTTCAAATGAAGCATAGCTGATTTCACGTGTTCTGTGGCACTACCGTCACTCATCGCGGAGACTCCGGCCGGTGCTATTGTGCCGAAATGAAATGACTGACTATCTCTGAAGGGGACATTTAAACAAAATTAACTTATGATTTCTGTTTAACCCCGGACACGAGCTGGTTATGACAGTAGGGGCACATCGAAATTTCACGCTTGGAGTCCGTGGATATGCAATTCAAGCGCCTAACCTGTCGGGTACATACACTACTGGTGGATTCCAGCAACAGAGAAATTCGATCAAAGAGCTTCCTGGGTGTATATCTGCCTGGATTAACGCAAGTGTAAGGGTGTGTGGGAGAATATATCCTGAAGGATGGTCACTTAAAATGCAGATGATGATTAGAGATAAGACACCTTATGTTTGATTATTGAAATTCCGATTCTCTACTTTGGTTCTTTTTCAAAGCGCTGCTTCGTGAACACTCACTATTAGTCTTCTGTTGTTCATAGTCTGCGTCCTGGCTAATGAAAGTAAGTAAGTAACTGGTGCATAAAGCTTGTTTACCACATTGCGGTTGCTTCAACGAATCTGTCTGGATAACTCACTCCTCCTAAAAGACGTGGGAAGCGTAGGAACCTTTCACAATTAAGATGGCTGATATCGCTTGAGGAAAAGCTGTGCATGTCCATATCAAGAAGGGCGAAACCCGCACCTTACTCTTTGTATATGTGAGTATGTTTAGTAGTGTAAGAAAAAAAACAACTAAAAACCTTTCCTGAGCTAGATGCTAAATGGTGAAACAGTTTTAATCGCGTTTTGGTCGTAAACTATTGCTGGTATGTGTATGAGAGTTTGTTAGTACTTTACCTGGGTCTTTTGCACTTCACCAAACATAAGCTATCGAATCAGTGTATCACAGTTGTTTTGCATACACGGTGAAAGCAGTCCAGCTCCAAAAGAAGCCTGACAAAATGTTCGTTCGGTCGCTTACACCTCCGTCCCGATCTCTTTGCCGATGCATTAAAAATCACAAATTATTTCTTGACAGGACTCAATTTGCTTGTTGTACAAAGGGTTTTACTATGAAAGCCTTTTGTCCGTTATGAATAGTTTTATCTATTTTTACTGCACCGTAAAAGCTTTGATTGCTGTATGTAGTATTTTCAAGGGTCTCAATTCAGCTTTCAACTACTTTCCTAATTACACAGATATTTCCATTCCGCTGGATGTGTAATTTCTTCAAGTAACTGTATACATTTGCTTCTTGCAGTGGTCGAACCTCCTAGGTGTTACCTGCCGTGACAATAATGATGAAAACGTATGATTTTATCTTTCTTTCCACATTGAGAACTTTCAAACCAATGAAATATACTGTTGTGTATATTGTTAATTATTCACCATCCGTGAACTGTGACTGGTCCTCCAATTCCAATTTATCTTTTAGCCCATCTGAATTCACTTACACTTGACTAATACGACCGCGTTCCCTCAATGGAACCTCAATGTCTCCGTTTCCACCGACAGATACCAAACCAATCCGTTCCACTCATTCTCCGGGGCACGTCGAATTACCATTAGTTCGCCTTGGTCAGTGGACATATCAATCTGTGTTCAACAGGACGAAATATGGCAATGCTGTCTGTCATGTGTGGAGATTGAGATGTTTATTTGTTCCGCTTTCTTTTTACCCCTTGTTACCCCAAAAGATAAGCCAAAATACTAAATTTCAAATTATCATTAATTCCAACGAAAATATGTTGAGAAATAAATAGAATTCTCATCGCGATAAAAAATATTGCACAGAGCTGTGTTTAAAAGGGCTGCGATAGGCATCCCGAGTTCGCACTTCGACATGGCAAATGGCTACCCTGGTGAGTCAGTGGTCGACAAACTGGTGTAACCCACAGTCACGCTCACGTCACTCCCAATGACCTTGAAAGAACAAAGACCTACAAGTAAGCCATTACACGCCATTGGTATGGTAGGATGGAAAAGGCTTACTGAGAACAGAGGAATGCAGAATTAGTGCTTCTCGTGAGATCACGTGAGATAACTGGACCGTGCCATGGGTCCCGGGCACAATGTGGCATGATGTTTGAAGCGTTCTACCTGTGAGACCCACAGGTCAATTCCCGATATGGTCGATGTATTCGCAGTATTAGATGAGACCCAGCCAAATCGAAGCAGCTGTCCAGTGTTTCCTAGCTTATCAGTTCACACTTCATTTGCTCTGTACTTGATGAAATCCACTATATAATCATAGTATTAATTATTTTTATTTTCAAAAGGAAACATTCGGGACCACATTTATGGTGAGGTGTATGATAGCAAGGGCATTTGTCTGGGAAATCTTACAAAATAGCCAGTGAGAACATTAAGTGACAAAAATGTTTCGCACCCACCTACGTGTTTCATGTGCATACAGTGATGTTGATACGACTGACGCATTTCCGTCATAACTCAGTACAAAGATACACTTTCAGCTAAAAGTTTGGAAACCGCGCGTCTTGTCTTTCGATGGTCTTGACAACTTGCTGGACTGTTGCAATGGCATATGCACAACAAAATACTTCTCCGGTCGATTTCACGGAAGCTTGTCCCTAGTCAGTGTGACT